CAAGTTGACTGAACATGGGGGCGGAATTCCTAAAGGGCAGCCTCTCCTCATAAATGTCACCACAGCTATTCCTGGTGGGCATGTACAGACTCAGCCACACTGCTTTTCATGTCTGTTTACTTATGAAAGGCAGAGTTTCAGAGTTCTTCCTTATAAGAACCTTGTCTGGGAGGCAAGGAAAATCAGAGAGAAACTGCGCAGTTTGCTCTTCATAACTGATGAGCATTTATGGGATAAGAGACTGGAGTCTTAGTATCACATCAGTTGCCTTGGGGTCACAGACCTACGTGATTTTCTCAAGCAGAGTAGGGTCCTGGGTTTATATTTTGGTAGGGACAGAGGTTGAAGTAAATAGGTGAGCAGGGTAACGTGTGATTTGAACCCACAATATTACCCAATCTCAAGATGAAGTCTCAAATTGTGAGGAGGATGAGACCCAGTAATTAAGACACAAGGGCTCAGGATCAGAGAAATATGTCAGGAGACCCTCAGGGATCCAGACAGTCAAGATTTTCCCTATCTTCAACTCTTAAAAAAGCTTCAGGGGACCAGAGAAATAATACAGTGTGTAGGGCACTTGCATGCGGCTGACCCATGTTCATCCCTGGCATCCCATATAGTCCCCTGAGAACCCCTAGGAGTAAGTCCTGAGTTTAGAGCTAGGAGTAACCCAAGAGCATCACTGGGTGTAATCCCAAAACTTCACAGAGCACCATCCCTCCACATTTGACCACCTCAGGGGTCTTCCTTCTGAAAATTAACTGTGAGCCATTGTATTAGAGGCCTGTTTGAGATTTGCCTAGACTTACTTATGTCTCAGTACAATAGTGTGAGGTGTGGTTACTAACACCCAAGGCCTACCCAGGTGTGGTTATGGGTAGAACTAGGAAAGCAGAAACCAGCAGTAAGTGGGAATTCATGGCAGGGACCAAAGGAGGAGAAGTCGAAAGCGTGATATTAACTTAGTCCAGTGCATCCCCATAGAGGAAAGATCCAGGGAGCATTCATTCTCTCCTTTCTTTCTCTATTTTGATGTTGTTGCCATGATCAGTGCTTTAAGCCACTGAACCATCTTCCATGTCCTTCTAGCAGATCACAAAGAGCAGGATCTTTTGATCAGCTCGGAACCTGTGGGCATTACCAGGGTTCGAACTCATGATCTCATACTGGCCAGACGTTAAGCCACTGCACCATATTCCAATCTCCAGTAGTGATAATTGGTATTAGTAATGATTACTATTTCAGATCATGTTGAATATGAGGAATGATCATTAACAACACTGAAAATGGTGTAAAATGTTCTGTAATCATTTTATGCACCCTGGAAACCTTGGTTTCACTTGTAATCTTGATCATCTCCCCCAGAGATGTTATAAATATTTAATATGCTCATTTAAATGCTTTTCTTATTTACTTGTAAAGTGCTTTCCAAGGTGCAAATCTCCACATGGACAGATAACATTTTCAAGGACTTCTGAAGGCAATCCCTCACCCTACTGGTAACATTTCCCCACTGTGTCATTGTGGACAAATCACCACATTTATAAAGTTTTACTCTTGCCAAGACCATAGTTGAAAAATCTCCTGAGAAATCTTGTTTTGAAAAGTCCCCTCTCTAGGTGGAGACACTGGTGACGGGTGTGATGTTGGAATTGTGTGCATGAGAAACCATTATTAATAGTATTATAAACCACAGAACATGAATCAATAAAAACATTAAAAATAAATTTTAAAAAGTCCTCTCTCTTCACAGCACAAATCTCCACTGTTAAAAGCACAACACTAACAAATACCTCTGATGAGCAACCTCCTTATAAACAAACATGCACTTTTGAGGAACCTCCTTATAAATAAACATCCGCCTTGACGTATCTCCATTGATGATCCCTGTTGACAGATCTCCCCATTCACCAATACATGACTCTATTGGCCACTGATGTACCACAGTGACAAACATCTCTTTTCAGAAGTACCCATTCATTAGCATATCTTTACTAACCACCCAGTTGGCAAATCTCGCTTTATAAATATGTTTCTATAACAGAATTTCCTTCAACATTTCTTTTTTATAGTTTTTTTGTTAAGTCTCTATGATTTACAAAGTTATTATTGATTGAGTTTTAGGCATACAAGACCCAATACCAATTCTATCACCAGTGTCAGCTTCCCTCCACCAATATCCTCAGTTCCTCTACCATCCTCCATCCCGTGCCTGCCTCTATGATGAGCACTTTTGAGAAAAAAAAAGTAGGCATGGTGGTGTAAAATGCTGTTACTGATAATGTATAACACATTTCAGCACCTCACCCTCTTTCAGATCCTCTTCAACAACTTCTATTAATATATCTCCCATTCATACATTTTTGACCCTCTGACATATTTTCTCATTCATAAATGCCCACCAAAATGTTCCTTTGTCAAATCATGCCATCCAGAAATGCTCACCATGGATATCTATCTCACTGATAACACCATTTGAAAGTGTTTTGTTTTGTTGTTGTCTTTTGGTTTAGGGGCCACACCCAGGGGTGCTCAGAGATTATTCCTGGCTCTGCACTCAGGAATCACTCCTGGCAGGCTTGGGGAACCTAGATTAGCCATTCTGTGTGCAAGGCAAGCTCCCTACCCACTCTACTATCTCTCTGGACCCCTGAAAATGTTTTTCATTCATAAAACTCCACCCACCCATGTAGCCCTTATCGTTTGACCACCATTGACATATCCCACCCACCCCCATCCTTAGATATCTCCAGTAGGAAAATCTCCTTACTGGGGTAACTACTAATATATTATGCCATGAAGTTGAAATTTCCCCGTACCACCTTCACCCAAACGATAGATGAAGAGGTGGATTTCTGGAATAACACCAACCATTTCTTTCTTGTCAGTAGTATCTGATACTTATATTTCACCATTCATTCCTGGATACCTCCTGTGCTAGTAGTAGTGACAGCTGAGACCCAACCCTGATCACACAGTAGAGTCTCCAACAATGGAAATTAATTGGACACAAGTTTTCTTTCATTGTACAGGTAAAAATGGAGTAAAAAAGACTGAAAGAAAACATTTTTAAAGGACTGATAGATGGCACAAATTTTAAGGCTCTTTCCTTGCATGCAGTCAGCTCATGGTTCAGTCCCCAACACTGCATATGGTCCCCTCCAGACACCACCAGGTGTCATCCCTGAGCACAGAACTAGAAGTAATCTGTGAGCACTGTTGGGTGTGACCCATAAACAAACAAATCAACAAAAGACTGGAAATCTGCAGAGAAACTGTTGTGACCCTGGAGACACTCCACAATGATCGGTATTCACTATAGGAGAAGGTTGCAGGTATGATGGCTTGAAAGAGTAAAGAGTAACTTGGAGGAGCCACATAAGCAGCAATTATCAGGCTGCATTTCTCTTTGCTAGATATTTACTCATACAGGTCACCAATTGAAGCTTTGTGAAAACCTATGTAGTTCTAATAGCTAGTGATGGGAACATTGGCACCAGGAGCCCTGGGCTCATTATCCTTTGTCCTTTCATACCAGAGTCTTCCTCTGTCCTCATATCCATAGAAAGCAGAAGTGATAAAGTACCTGCCATAAGGTACTTATAAAAGTTATAAGGCCACAAGTTTGGTTTCCCATTGCCACTCCATGCACTCAGCATTATCCTGGCAGCACTGTGGTTTTTCCTGGCAGCTGTGCTGTCTGTGATGCCCAGCACAGTGATTTCCTAGCACATATCATCCAGGTATATGCAAACATCATAATGAACGGGTGCATATTTACACCACAGACCCTTCAGGCATCAAAACACAAAATGTGTGTGAGCACCACAGCCAGGAACCCTTGGAAGCACCTGTGTAAGGACCACAACTGCAAAGAGCAGATCTCAGCGAGCATATGTAGAAGCACCGCCATTAAAGGGAACCAGATATACGGCAGGTAGAGCACTTGCCTTGTTCTCTATCTGATCAACTTAGTCTCAACTTAGTCTCAATCCCCGGTGCCCCATAGAGTCCCCTCAAGCTTTGACAGGAGTTATCCCTGAGCACAGAGCCAGGAGTAAGCCCTGAGCACAGCTGGGTGTGCCCCCAAACCAAAAAAAGGCAATAAAGGAATGCATCCCCTTCCTGCCTCTGGTCCAACCTTAGACTGTGAGAACAGCGTCCAAGTGTGTGAGCTCCACAACTTGAGTTGTCAGCACTCTCAAGTACCAGAACTATGTGAGCACCGCAGCTAGGAATGTATGTGGATCACATCACCTAGAGGTTCAACAGTATGAGGTTTAGCGGGGCCAGGACATTCTCTCTGGGCAATATCAGGCAATGCCTGAGGTGAAGAGAATTGTTGTTTCCTAGGACAAATGATTGGTCATTTGTTAGCAAGCTTGTCAAATGGAGGGACTGGTGAAGAGGGAGATTTGCCAGTGAGGGAGAGATTTGTCAGAGTAGGATCAATTATAATTCAGAGAGATCTGTGCAAATAGGAATTAGTCTAGTAAAATACTAGAATGTACTGAGTAGAGAGATTATGCAATAGGTTATGACTATAATGCAGATGAAATGACCATCATCAGAGCCTAGGGCTAGCTCAGTCGTAGAACAACTGCCTTGCAGCCATGAAACCACAAGTTTCATTCCCAGCACTATCCTGCATGTCAAGTGTGAGTCTGGCAGCACTGCTGTTTGGGATCCCTGCAGCCCAACTAAAGTGTGTGAGCCCTGGTAAGCCCTACAACGGAGGCGTACTAGCACTACAACCAAGTGTGTGATCCCCTGGTTATTGGGACAACCACCACCAAGGAAAGGGAGTGGGGGTGGCAATGATCATGACCAATACTGCATCTTACTAGTGCGAAGTGTAGCAATGCCTTACCCATACCTCACATTTTAGGTCAAACATGAAAAGCAACCCCATTTTGCTCCGTACCTCACCAGCTGTTCCCACCAGATCTTCAATGACCCAGGCTGATTTCCGAAATAACACAGGAACACTGCCTGCCGGCTAGTAGTACTTTATTTTATTGAAAGAAGGAAAGGTGGGTGTGGGAAAGGAGGTGAATACTGTGCTGGTTTCAACTTCCATGGGGGCTGGGGCCGAGGTTCAGGCCCGCCGGTACCCGTATCGTAGGGAGTGCCAGGCACACATGCCAGACTTCTGTGGCAGGCAGGCAAGATGGAGACTCTGGTAGCCTTTCTCCGAGCGCCTGAAGAGACTGTCTGTCCACAAGCAGTGAGTGTTGTTCTGTAGTTTGCAGGGTACAGACAAGCAAGGGAACACCTAGTGGAGGGGACACAGGAAGGGTCCTTTGATCCCTTACACCGTCCAAATTATGTACTTCTTAACATTCAGCAATGATCAACTAGGGAGATTTGGTGTCACCCCACCTGAGTGCTCAGCCCGTACTAATAGGGATGGGGAAAAAACAGGAGATAGGCATTGGACTTGGGGAGCTCAAGGCAGAAAAAGGATTAGCTGGTTGGGAACAGAGGCAGAGAGGTCAAGCTCTCTGGGGGTGCCTGGCCTTCTGGGGGATCAGGAATAGCTGGCAGAGGGTGAGACTAGCTGGCAGCTGGTGAAGTGGGAGAGAAGAACAGTTTCAGCAACAGACACTGGTGTCAGAGACCACAAGGGACCGGAAGAGAACAGTGTTGGGACAGTCAGAAGGGCAATCAGTGTAACAACCCTCAGGTGTGAAACAGTCAAGCAAAGAGTGGAGAGCACCAAAGGTCTGGGAAGAGAACTGAACAGAACTTGGGGTTCTTGGAGAACATTTCCAGTAATATAAAAATATCTTGGGGTGGGGGGGTCAAAAGCAGACTGCATGGGTGGAATAATGGGAAGATGGGTTAAAGGGCTGAGCACAGACTTGGTGTGTAGGAGACCCAGATTTGATCCCTGGCACCGCATGGTCCTTGAGCACTTCTGGGAGCAACCCCAGAGTACTGAGTCATAAGGAGCCCCCCTAACTGGAGCACTGACTCAGGAGGGCCCCTACAACCAAAATTAGAAAAGAACAGATATCATTATTACTGAATAGTCATGAAGAAAGCAGCCAGAAGGTCCAGAGAACAACCAATCTCTAAGTATTAGACCAAGGGCAAGGAAGAACCAGTAATCCCAGGATAATAGACTCAAAAATAAGAAACATTAGGGCCAACTCTAGGTTAGGGGCAAAGCATAGTCATAAGGAGCAAGAAATGAGAACTAGGGGAAGAGCCACAAGCCCATAGAACACTCACTGTGCATTCCTCACAGCCGGTAGCATAGGTCTTGATGAAGCCCTGGCGCTGAGCAGGGCTCAGACTGTTCCAGGGAGCCACAAAACTGCAGGTGGAGATGTACATATGTCCATCTCTCATTTTTCCTGGAGAAAAATGAGATGTCACAGCTCACTTCTGAATGTCTGGGTCAAGGCAGGCAGTGCCTGAATGGCGTTCCTGGAGCACAGAGGATGCTGGGCAAAGTTTCAGCCTCCGTTGGATAGGGAGTCATTGCCATGACCGCCTCTCCACCTGGACGATGGTTACCCGGACTACCAGACAGGGAGAAAGTGGTGGATTGGTGTGGCACAGGGCATGGGGTAGGGCCTCACCAGCAATAATGAACTCCTCGCTTTGGTTCTTGGACCGGTGCATGTAGCCGCAGACACTCTCCGTGTGAGGGGTATAGATATACTCAATGTCATGGACATATTCCAAGGTGTTCAATCCTTTAAGTATCTGTCAGTGGATGAGAAGAAAGAGTCTCTCTTACAGATAATAACCTTTACACTGCACATTCTTCCTGAAAGTCCTAAATCATCCTGAGATCATGGCTCATTTTCTCACCCACTTGGGACTAGGGGCTTCTATTTTCACAGGAAGGAAGGGGCTAGGAGATGCTGGGGTATGAAGGGTAGGAGGAATACCTTGGTTATCTTGATCTCATAACGCCGGTATATAGAAGTCTGGTTGAACTCTCCGGGTCCTACGAACTTGGCCCTAATAACTAGCAGAGTTGGGGAAGAAGAAAATCAGTCCATTTCATTGTATGGCTTCAATAACTTTACATAGCAATGATGTCAAAGTGTCTGCTGAAATAGGGATTGCTGAAGAATAAGCAGTACACTAAGTCATTTACACTTATGCTCATTGATTCATTTGTTTGGTCAGTGTCTGATCTTCTCCAGGCAGGTTAGACTGTATCCTATATGCATCATCTGTTTATTCACTCAACAAACATTGTGGAGCAGGTACCGTTCTGGGGAGTTAGGGAAATATGAATAAAACACAAAAATCCCTGACCATGTAGGGTTCATATGATAGTCAGTAGGAGGAAGATCAAACGCAAGCAAAATTAAGGGCTGCCGTAGTACAGCAGTAGTCTGGCAGTCTTGTCTTGCCTGTGGCCAACTCAGCTTTGATCCCTGTATGGTCCCCCGAGTCCATCAGGAGAAATTCCTGAGTGCAGAACAGGAATAACCCCTTAGCATGTCCAGATATGACCCCCAAACAAACAAAAAACTCAGGGTACAGAGACATACTACAGCAAGTAGGGCGCTTAACTTCATGCAGCCGACCTAGTCATTCTCACCCTACACAGTCCCTGAACCCTGCCATGCTAGAAGTAAGCCTTGAGAACCACAGGGTGTGACACCAAAACCAAAAAAGCAAAGAAGGGAGTAATACTGGGAAACCTCCCTTTGAACTAAGATGGAAGCCTAAACACAGTTCATGTACAGAATGGAGTTTAGACTCACCGAATTCAGCTTTACAGAAGGAGATCTGTGGGTGAGGCGGGACACAGGTACAGGCCCTGCTGGGAGCAGTCAGCCACAGCAACACAAGGATGGTGGAGGCCAGGGGTGCAAAGGGGGCCATGGCAAGTTCTACAGGGGTGGAGAGATAGCCACCAGGCCATCTGATGAGGATGGGGGTTTATCTCCCACACCAGTCCATCCATCCCCTTCCTTCCCACCAGCAGCTCAGAGGAATAGCAGGCCTTTGGACTTGTATTGGGAAGTTGGGGAATTTTAAGAGATTCTGAGATTTGTCTTCAAATCTCAAATCCCACTAGAGTTTGGGTCACAAGTTGAGGCAATTTAGGAATCGCTGAGTTGGAGCAATTTAGAGGACTGGGAGAGTTGGGGGCATTATGCGATTGTGGCATTTGGGGACAGTGACGGCTGAGGAAATTTGTTCATTTATGGGATTTGGGGAAATCAGAAGGATGAGGGGTTTGGGATGAGGAATTTGGGTCTGAACAGCAGGGGTGTTTGAGGGAGGTAGGGAGTTCCTCGGTGATGCATAGTAAAAGACATAGGAGGTGGGAGAGTTGAGAGAAGTTGAGGAATGTAAAGGAGGTTGGGGGTTTAGGTAATTTGTGGAACTGGGGCATTTAAGAGGATGAAATTTAGGAGCAGAGGGCATTTTTAGGTTTAGGGGATGGAACATTTAGCAGTCTGAACTGTTGGAGACTAGGGAAGTTTGGGGAGCTGCAGCAGTTTGGAGGGAGGGAATTTAGGGAGGAAGCAAGAGGGTTTAAGGCTGGCTGCTTGGGAGGTATCTGAGGTATGGGTGCTCCTGGATTAGGGGGACCTGGGGAATGCATATTCTGAGGCTTGAAGGAGTTTGGAGGGTCAGGATTGAGAAGCCGATCTGGATACCCACCCTCTACACCTTGACCAGAGCACTAGGCAGGCTGGCAGCCAGAGAAGCGCCAGCCCAGCATCAGGCCCTGCAGATAACCCAGGCCCCTACCTACCTCTGCTTTCTCTTCTGGCAGACGATCTGCAGCGATGGCGGCAGAGCCTGAGCAGCGGAGGATAAATGTCCACTTGAGGGGCGGGGGTGGAGGGTGGAGGTGCGGAAACCACAGGCCTCCAGGCTTCCTGGATGCATTACTCATCCACCCACCAACCAAGGAGGCCAAGGGGCGGGCCAGCCTAAAGGAGTGGTGCGCTGCTGGGCTCCCTCCCCCAGGGCCTCGCCCTGCCCCCCCCCCCCCTTTCCCTCTTCTTGGCATCCATCCCCTCAGACAGAATTCCCCAGGTGCTGCCCTCTAAAGTCTATCCAATGTGCATCCATCCCCCAAACTCCATGTGATTGAGGCTGGAATGTGTCTGTTCATTTCCTGCACATCTACGTCTGGGCCAAGCGTACCCCCCAAAAACACAGAAATGTCTCTCCTAGTAGATCTGACTTTTTGAGTAAGGCTAGGGGAGACAGTGAGGAAACCAATTGCATAGAAGTCCTGAATGAGATGAGGCAGGTAAATGGAGGGGTAATGCAAAGTAGGGAAACTGAGGCACAGAGAAGTTTTTGTGACTTATCCAGACTTACAAAAATGACAATTTATGGAATTTGGAATTTGAATTCAGATGCCTGAGTCCAGACAGAGCCTGGGGTATGACCCGCCTCCAAACACACAAGCGGGGTGCCAGGGCATGTGGCAGAGTGCATGCTTGGTAGTTGTGAAGACTTGAGAATCTGATGATCTCAGTAGCATAGCCATTGGGGTCCCTCAGGCCACATGAAGTGTGTGAAATCAGGCACACCACAACTAATTATGTAACTCCCAGGCACCCCAACAAAAGGGAAGTAACAGATGACCAACTAGCTAAATTAAAAATGTAAAACACAGGCAATAGCTGGAAAAGATAGTATAGAGATTAAGGTGATTGCCTTGCATGCATGGTCCCCTGAGTATCACAGGGAGTGACAGCACCACCCTTAACGCAGAGGCCAGATTAGCCCCTAAGAACCTCTGGGTGTGGTCCCCCCAAAACAAAATAGGCAAATAACCAGCATTTATGTAGCATCCACTGAGTACCAGACAATTGGTATAATTCCCTTTAGTGCTCACATTTAATCTCTGAGGTGGGTGCAAGTTTTATTCCCATTCTACAGATGATAACTATGAAGTGTAGAGGGATCAGAGGATTCCCCGTGGGGTCCCAGTGCATTGCTGGTATTTGAAAATAAGCTAATTGATGTCAGCATCAACATAGGCAGAGGAATCAACATGCTGTTGAATTACTGAGCACTGGGGAGAGGGGTGTTGAACAGTGGCAAAAGAGGCCAGTGAGTCAGGAGAAAATTGATCCCCTCTCATCCTGCCTTGTTTCTTCCCCACCAACCCTACCACACCCTTGGTTGTGGGTAGGGGGTGAAGCAATCCCTGCCCACCAACTTCCAGATGTTTCTGAATCTTCTGTGGGGTCCTGGGAAAAAGACTCTGAGGGGTGATTAACATCCTTCTTTAGTTCAGAAAGACCTATAATAATGAAGATGGTGGTGATGAGAGCAGCCACTTACTGAGCGATTACTGTATACTGTACCCAAAAGTTTTTGTGTTAAGTTCTCTCATTCAGTCTCCTTGCCTCCACTGCTAATCCAGCTTGATTAATTGGGCAGGCTAGTTCAATTAACAAAGGCAACACTTCAAAAAAGTACCACCAGTACTAGCAGTGCTTGCTGGGTATCAACAGTGTATAGATTGTCTCTCAGGACCACCTTGCTGGCTACTGGGTACATGGTTGGAATTATGTCCATGAGAAAAAATCGTTAAGTGCATTTTAAACCCCCACATTAAAAAATTAAAAATATGTATGTTGGTTAATGCAGGGATGTTAAATCAATAATAACGGTACCCAACACTTTGTTATCCTTGTTGGTGCAGTGATGGTGATGGTGGTGGTGGTGGTATCTGGAGGCCACAAGGTACTGAAGATTGAACCTAGGGCCTCAAGAAATTCAAGGTGTGTGCTCCACCACTGGACCTGTCCACCGGCGAGACTGTTTTTTTCCCCTTATGGTTGGGGGGGGGGGCACACCCTGGGATGCTCAGGGGTTACTCCTGGCAACATTTTTTGAGAATTAAAGTTTCCTGTGTGTCAATGACTTGTGAAGAATTTCCCCTTCCAAAATAACAAGTCTTCCTCACGACATTCCTGCCATGAGATTGTTCATCATCTTGTTGCACAGATAAGTAAAATGGGCCTCACGAAAGGGTAGTGACCTGCGCAGGAATGAGAGTGAAGAAATCACTCAGATGAGGGTGGGACAGTAGGAGGAAACCAGAAAATCACAGCTGATTGTGAAAGCAGAAGAGTGAGAGTGACTGAGGTTAGTAGCCCAGCTAAAGGAGAAGTGACGAAGGGGAAAAGGGAAAGCCCATTGCAGTCCCTCACTGACCCTGCTTCTTGTGCCAGCTCTGTGAAGTTGACTCTTGAGTCAGCACAGTTTTGGCACTCATCTGCGATAAGGGAGTGTGTGGACCTGGTTTAGCTTGCAGGCTTGGAAACCCTGGGATTTCATGGAGGGTGTCCTAGTGGTGTGGAGGACAGATGAGTGCGTGGTGCATGGAATGTGGGTGGTGGTGTGTGCAGAGCAGATACATGACAGTCCACCCCATACTGTGTGCTTGGACCGGATGATAACCTTTCAACAGATCAGAAACTGAGGTCCAGAGATAGCTGCAGTGACGTGAGTAAAGGGAGAAACCACGATTCCAACCTCTGACTCCCCAAGGGGTCCTGAGAACTGAGCTGCCTGGGGGGTACACATTGCATCCATACCCAGACCCACATGATGATGTTTTCAGCCTCAGGTCCAGAGAGACTGAGGAGAGTTCTTGAAGAGAGGGACCTAGAAACTTGGGGGGGGTACAGACCTAGCAACCTGAGGTTGGGGGAATGGTAGGGGGTGCGCCTGCTTTCCACTATTTCTGCATTCCTCTAGGTGGCGAGTAATTCCGCTAAATGCCTGCGTGCCTGGGGAATTGCATAGCCCTGTGTATTTCTCTGAGGGAATACATAGTCCTTTTCAGAGCTGCGTCTGCCTCTTCAAAGTGGTTCTGGGCTGTGCATGTGATTGCAGATGTGCTTATTCACCTCTGGGTGCACGGTTGTACCAGAGGGTTACGTTACACACAACTGGAACTCTAGAGACTCCCTTATCCCTCCCCCCCCCCCCCCCCCCCCGTCCTAATAGCGCCCCGTAATGACGCCAGTCATTTGGGAAATGAGGAAGACGGGGGTGACAAAGGAAGGGGGAGGCCTGAAGGTCAATCCATCACGTTGAGCTGTGGGCTTCCTGTGCCTGTCGGGAACCGCCGCCGCCCCAGCAGCCCCTCCGGGAACGCCACCCCAACCTCCAGCGGCCTGCGGGGAGGGGCGCCGCCCGCCCTGCGACTGCGCCTGCGCAGCCCGCTCTGCTCTGCCTAGACTTGCTGTGGGCGGTGGGCTGGGGGTGGGGGCGGGGAAACTTAGTATTATTCTCCACCTGATTTTGTCTTGTGTACAAGTAAGAGGATTAACTACGTGATAAAATAGAACATGGCATGTTGGTGTTTTTTTTTGTGTGCCCACCAGTGTGGTGGCTTCTGTGATTTCTGGAAGACCTGGGAGCTTGGGTATGTGGTGTGGAGCTGTTTGCACGCGTAGGAGCATAGCCTGCATCTGTGATGACCAGATGTTTAGGGCCAAGCCTGTGCCTCTGAATTCTATGGCTGTGTCTCTGATAGTTGTCACTATACTGCATGGATTCCATGGTGTGTGCCGGTGTCTCTGAGCAACTGACTGGCTGAATGACTTTGCCATCTCTGCAGCCTGACTACAAGGTTAGCTCTGGGCTCTGTTACTTGTTGATTGCTCCATACTGTGGGCATCATTTAATCTGGTTGTGGAGCTTGGATGGCTGGAGCACAGCGGGTAGGGTGTTTGCCTTGCAAGCAGCCAAAATGGCCGACCCGAGTTCGATTACTCCTCCCCTCTCAGAAAGCCTGGCAAGCTACCCGTGATGTATTTGATATGCCAAACACAGTAACAGTTGTCACGATGGAGACGTTACTGGGCCCGCTCAAGCAAATCGATGAACAACGGGAGGGCAGTGACAGTGACAGTGGAGCTTGGAGAGAGAGAGAGAGAGAGAGAGAGAGAGAGAGAGAGAGAGAGAGAGTGTGTGTGTGTGTGTAAATCGTGTATGTGTGTGGACAAAGCTTTCAAAGGACTGCTGGGGGGTATCCAGTTGGTACATGCTCATAACCACACCCCCATGCACACACTACTCACTTTTCCATCACTGTGAAAACAAACTTTCCCGGAAATTCCCCCACCATAACTCATGCTTCTGTCCCAGAAAGCAGGGGTGGAATGTCTGAGGCTTGGGACTGGTGCGGAGAGGGCCAGACAGGCAGTGCTGTGGGTTAGATTCTAAGCTCAGAGTCACTGTGTGACCCTCAGCTGAAGTCTGCCCACGTCTGAACCAGGACTTCTGGCAAATGACTCCCCAACACTGGCAATTGGGCCTTTTGCACTGACCATGCTCTCTCTTTCCACCCTTCCAGCTCAGCAGCACAACGTACCCAGTGGTTGTGAAGATGGGGCATGCACACTCTGGGATGGGCAAGGTGAGTCTCCAGGTGGGGTGTGTGTGTAAGTGGTATGCATTGTCCTCACCTTGCAATATACGTACATGTATATGTGGGTATGCCACCAATGCACACTGATAGGTCTATGATTATGTTTGAGGTATCTATCTGTGCTTTCCCCTTCATATTAACTTTTGTGGGGCCAGTTTTGTGTCCTCTTGTTGGTATATCTAGATTGTGTGTGTGTGTATATACATGAGGTCTTTCCATTGAACAAATGTGGCATAATCTTCTATGTTTAAGGTTCTGTATGCATTCTATTCATCTCAGTTTTTCTCTCGGTGTGAAGATAGCAGACTCTGAATTCTTATCTCTCCATATATGTCTGTCTTCATGTTAGGTACACAGCTGAGTATGTGTCTGAGTACCCATATGCCTATAGAATTATATGAAGTGTAGGAGACCCAGAATATGAGTGCTTCAGGTTCTGCCCACCAGACCAAATTATTTGTTTGGGGGCCACACCCAACTGTCCTTTGGGGCTCAATGTTTGCCTGACTCTATCTCTCCTGGCAGTATCTGGGGGACCATGTGGTGCTGGAGGGGGCGGAGAACTCAACCCTCTCAATTGTCTCTACTAAATTTTTGTATCAGTTCACCTATCCTGCATGTGTGTGTGCATGCTCCTGTCACAAGGCACCCCCACTTTCCACTGCTACCTCATTCTAACCAGTTCCTGATCCTCATCCCACTCTCCAGGTCAAAGTAGACAACCAGCATGACTTTCAGGACATTGCAAGTGTGGTGGCACTGACGAAGACCTATGCTACCGCCGAGCCCTTCATTGATGCCAAATATGATGTGCGTGTCCAGAAGATTGGGCAGAACTACAAGGCCTACATGTGAGTGGAGAAACTGAGTCCTAGGAA